TGTGAATAGTAATGAATTTTAAATACGTATTTACCTTTCTGCGTACGAAAGCTGATCGTCCACAAGATATTTAATACCATGTATACTAGAATTTTGCAAATATTGTTTGATAATTTTCCACCACCAAGTGAATTTTAGCCTCATTGTTACATCTAAATACTAGATTATACGAACAGAGCGGCTTAAACTGCTTTTGTAACCGTAAATGAATCGATTTGTCATAATACAAGCTTATAAATTATACAAAATTTGATTTAATCTTCAATGCTTACACAACTTGTTAGAAAGCATGATCTTTATGATTATTTTATTATGTAGACTAATTTTATTTCGTATTTCATTTCATAAAAAGGACAAGTATCTATTAAAGTAAGTATAAACAAATTCTATAAATGCAAGAATTTTTATTAATACTTTAGTTGCTGTGCAAAACTTGAGTAAAAAGAAAATTATTGAAATTCGAAAGTAAAATTAAATAAAACATATTTATATAAATTATTTATAATTTTAGTATTTTTATTTTCGTTTTATAAACGTCTCTTTAAATTAATACAAGGATTCGCCTGTAGATATACTCGCAAGATGCCGGTAAAAGCGCGCGATTACTGTGCTTTTTAAGGTTAGCAGGTTTCTTCGGATTGTACTATAAATTTTATTAATTTGTTACTGATTTTAAACCAAATAATTGATAATACGTTGAATACACTGTAAATTAAAAAAATGGGAAGATATTTTATAAAGTTTTCATATCTTGGTACACAATACAGGTATACCTCACTGTAATTACACGTGCTTTTCTCTAATCTGTCGGTGACTTACTTTTTTTATTTTTACTGTTGCTATAAGAACATATTTTGAATGTACATTTTACACAATAAATTGGATAATATTTAAGATTTAAAAATGTAACCTTTTATAGTGCGAAATTTGAAATATATGAAATATGTATTTATATACAAAATTATAGTACTGATTACATGTATTTAGGGGCATGCAAAAAAATATAATTCCAAGGGAAGGTAATATTCTAATGCATGATACAGATACTATTCAAGGTACTTTAGAAACTGCTTTAACAAAGATACTTCCAAAATGTACAAAATGGCCAAAGCTAACTTGCTCTAGCAGGTAAGTAGTTTCACATATGATTGATTTTATTTAATAATTATGACAAAAAATTTACAGAACAGATAGTGGTGTACATAGTTTATGTAATACAGCTCATGTTGATATAGAAAATAAGTTGGATTACATTTATAATCCCCACGAAGTACTAAAAATTGTGAATCGACATTTAAATCATAGCAGTCATGATATTAGGTAATTAAATATTTAATATCACCTATTTTTTATCTATATGAGTAATAACTTCATATATTATTTTAAGGCTCTTGGAATTTATACCAGTGAACAAAAATTTTCATGCAAGAAAACTTGCAAAATCTAGAACTTACATCTATAGATTTGGAAAGGCTAAATATGACAATGAACATAGACTTCCTCTGGCAGAAATAAAACAATCCTTTCATCTTAGGTATTATTTACATCTGTTAAAAGGTAGTTTAATTTTTTATATTGTTTATTACTTCATCACCATTTTATCTATTTATTGCAGTGCAGAAAATTTTGACTTTGAAAGAGTAAAATGTGCAATACAACTTTTTATGGGGTTAAAAGATTTTAGAACATTTAGTGCAAAAAATAATTCATCAATACCAATTAATTATGTAAGGCAACTAAATAGTTTTACCTTAGAAAAAAGTAATCCACTTATGCCATATGATCCCCTATCTGAAAACTATGAATACTGGCATTTTGTAGTCTCAGGAAGGTCCTTTTTATATAATCAGGTATATATACATGTATATAATATAATAGATATTAATGTTATTAATTTTCTGTAGATGTTATAGATAATTAATACATTTTTTTGTAGGTTAGACGAATGGTAGGTGCTTTATTAGCTCTAGGGGTAGGCAGAATAACAGAAAGAGATATAAATATAATGTTACAAGTTCCTGGACATCATAATTGGCTTACAAAAATAAGCATGGTTCCACCACGTGGTTTATATCTTGTGAATATAGAATACTGTCAAGAAGAATTAGATAAATATACTATAAAATATAAATTATCTTCTGACAGTGAAAGAGTTGAACCAATAGAGGCAAATGAAATATAATATATATTTAGAAATTAACATAAACATTACGCAATAATTTTAATTAATTTAAGTTGTTACATTTCTCCTCAAGTTACATTTGTAGTTTGACAATGGACTTAAACAGTCTAATAAAAAGTAAAAAATTACACTTAAAAGCTTGTAAAACTATTGTAACGAACATGCTTGGTCAAAAGTATGAAGAGATTAATGGAGAAAAGAAAGAATTACCCCCTGGAATACCCTTTGTGATAGATAGTAAACCTGATTTAGAGATTGCATGTGTAATGCCTGGATTATTTCTAAGTTCGCAAGATCCTGTTGTATGCAAAGAGCTTTTAGAAAAATACGAAATTCGACATATTTTGAGCATAGGTATTGTCGCGCCTGTAAAATTTAATGATATGAAATATTACCATTGTGATTTGTTAGATGTACCCGAGTCGAATCTACTTATAGCAGTGAACGAATGTATTAAAATCATACACGAAAATCGTAATGAAAATATTCTTGTACATTGTAATGCTGGTGTATCACGTTCGCCAGCCATCGTTATTTCTTATTTAATGGCTCTTGAAAATATATTTTACGATGATGCTTATAATAAAGTAAAAATGATAAGAAACTGCATTAAACCCAATGAAGGATTTGTAAAACAATTAAAAACATTACAACTCCCGTTTGTATTATAATAAGTAAATATCAAACATTAATACATTGTCTTAGAATTTATTTGAAGATACTGTTGTAAATAATAAAAGAAAAAAATAACACTGT